TCAGGTCGATTTCACTAAACCACGTTTGACTAAAGGGGGGTCTGTCCATCCCCGAGAGTGTCATTCACGCATGGCGTGCCCGCGCCCGATCCCGCGGGCATCCTGGACGCTCCGCGGCCCCTTCAGGGAGTGCCGCCGGGGGCCTCAGTGCCCCTGGCCTCGTGGGGCGTGCCCGCGGCCCGTCCGGCACGCCCTTCGCACGCGCTCCGACGGCCCTCTTGGGGAGCTCCGACGACGGCCCCGACGGCACAGTCCGCGTGGCAGGCTGGCCACAAATGGGGGAGCTGTGGTCCTTACCCTCCTGCGGGACCCATCGATTTCACATCCCTCTCGAGAGATCGTCGACGCGATGGGTTCCCCCAGGGGGTCGAGGACCACAGCTCCCCCACTTGGATAATCGGGGGGGGGTAGCAAGTAGATAGCACAGTTATAAATTGATGTAAAGAGCTTACAACTTCATTAGAATCAGCTTATAACATGCACAAGCACGTTATAACCACCAAAACCAAGATAACGTAGAAGCTAAACTTTACAGTGGTTATGTAAACGTGCGAACAACTCCACTAAGTTATGAACGTAGTTAGGGTAATCCGTGCAAGTTGTTTAGGGTAGATATGCTGACGGATAGTATCCAGGATCTAACCAGATCGTATCTAGGATCCACCCCAAGCTAACCAGGTTGCTAGCTAGGTTCGCTAAGTAGGTTCGCTGAGGTTCGCAAGTGGGTTACCAATGAGGGGCCTTATGAAATACTAGTGCACTTCCCTTGGATTTAAACCGAATCCGATATATGTCCGTTCAATATCTTGCGCGTGGCCCACGTTCCGCAGCAATTTGTTGCTGCGAGTGGTTCTCAAACCCTTCGCCAGCATGGCTGGCGAGACGGTGGCCGCCCCGACTCCAGAGCCAGATTTCGGGCTTGAGCCCGCAATGTTGCAGAAGTTGAAGGAGATTGCCCCGACCATCAACAAGCAGGTTGATGATATGTTCGACGTTCATGTCAACAAGAAGCAGAAGAGGCTCAACAGGAAACCAAGCATGCACCCATACCCACGCATGCCAATCTACCCACGCCCATCTGATGATAGTGATGTTGGGTATACCCAACATCGCTATCATCCGATGTTGCGGGTCGTGGTAGGGGGCGTCCGTGGGAATGGGTTCGGGCTTGATTTCTGAGGGCGACCGTGGACCAAATAATGACACTCTTGGAGAATCATGGTCTCGCTTATAGAGAGCAGAACGTCGATATCGATAGATTTGCGCCGCACCCTCACAACAGAGATGGTCAGGGTCTGGACGCTCTCTGCTGCCATGAACTACTGTCCAAAATCCTGAGGGATGGGTTCTCGCACGCCTTGACTTCGGACGCCACTGCATTTGAGGTCAGCCCGATCCCTAGCGCCTTCGCGGCCCAGTTCGAGTTCCAGGGGGTTCTGGAGGCGAATTGCGATAACATGATTGCGCATGTCAAGAGGCGGGGTTGGCTTTCGAAGCGCGCCCCCACTCACAGTGGATCCCGCCCAGCTCTCGAACGATGTGTGTTGTTGGTGTGTGAGTAGCCTGCTTCGTTTTAGGGGTGGGCGAGGTGGCGCTGGGGGGGGGCAGCGTTTCGGCCGACCCACAGGCAGGATCTTCGCTTTCTTACGGTGGCTGGGTCTCACACGATTGGTTGCATCAGGGCTGCGAGCCACCAAGTGAAAGCATCCCAGGCGTTTTTGGCCCACGTATCTGCGGAGGACGGCACGATCGCCAAAGACAAGGTCCTGGCATCATGTCCGACGTTCGCTGATCCCTTGCAAAACGGCGTATCGTTCAGGATCATCCGCAGCGCAGTCGAACACTTTTGCCCCAGACTGCCCGCCATGATCGCAGATGCGATGAACGAGGTCCACGGCACGTTCCAGGAAGTCACCCCCATCCAGACGCTGAAGAGCCTGTTCAGCAAGGCCCAGATGAACTTGCGGCAGTTCGGGGACGCCAAGTGGGAGCTCGTCGCAGCGGACCTTGAACGGGACCGCCCAAGCATGACAGGCCATGGGATTCCAATGCGCGGGTTCCTCTCGGACTGGGCGGGCGGCGGCAAGGGCCAATTCTTGGACGAGTTGTTGGAACATTCGTGCTCTCTGAAGTTTCGCAGGTTCGTTGGTGGGTTTACGTGGAAGCTACTTGCGAACGTGAAGTTCTATTCTGGCCCAGCGCGCGTGTTGGCAATGGCGAAGGCAGCGCTAACAGCTCCAGAGTCCTTCCTGCAGAGGGGCGAGTCTCGCCTGTTCAACTCCGCCGACATCGACGCCATCAGCGCGTCCAAGAAGCACCAGTGCATAGAGGCGGTGGCGATGTTCACCACTGCCAAGGAGTTCCTGCATCAGGTCGGCAGCCTCACGAAGGTTCAGAAGACCATGCTCATTGGCGACCTCGAGGTCAGGGCCGTCATGGCGATCCATGGGAAGAAGAGCAGGAGCCGCAAAACGTATGAGTCGCTCCACGCCGTCGGCCA